CATCATGCGTTGATAGGTGGCTCCAGCATTTTTGAGACCAAATGGCATCATATTATAGCAGTAGGTAGCTTTTTCAGTGATAAAAGTTGTGGCTTCCTCATCTGGTGTGAACATTGGAATCTGGTTGTAGCCTAAATACGCGTCCATAAAGGATAGGATCTGGTATCCTGCAGAATTATCGACCAGCTTGTCGATGGTAGGAAGTGGATAAAAATCCTTTGGGCAATGTTTGTTGAGATCTGTGTAATCAGTACACATGCGCCACTTTCCATTGGGTTTCTTGACTAATACAACATTGGAGAGCCAAGTAGAGTACGTGATTTCTCTGATTACTCCTACATCAAGCAATTTTGCTACTTCAGTTTCAACCGCTTGTTGTTTCTCTGGGGAGATTTTGCGCTTTTTCTGCGCGATGTGTTTTGCTTTGGGATCCAGGGTTAAATGGTGACATATTATCCCTGGGTATATCCCTGGCATGTCGGCGGCTATCCACACAAAAAGGTCTTTGTTATTTTGCAATACAGTTATCAACGCGCTTTTCTCAGCTTCTGGGAGGTTTTGTCCAATTTTGGTGGTGTTTTCAGGGAGTGGCCCTATTTGGAAGTCTTCCAACTCCCCATCAGGTTGAGGACGAGTATCGCACAGATCTTCGAGCATGTCAAAATCGGTCATATTCACTGATGCTTTGCCTTTGTCATCAGGTTGTACAAGAGTTTTGGCTCTTAAACTGGTGTTATAACAGCTGCGCGCTATTTTTCGATCACCTCTGATGGCAACTACCATGCCAGACTTGTTACGGAATTTCATCAAAAGATGAGGCATAGAAATGATTGCCTTTAATGCGGCAATAGTTGGTCTTCCTAGAATGATGTTATATGCTGATGCGTATTCAATGACATAAAATTTTACTTTGATAGTTTGAGCAAGAGGCATGTTTCCAAAAGTGACCCACATTTCAATGGTGCCTTTGGGCTGTACGCACTCTCCGGCAAAGCCAATTAAGTCCGAACATGCATGAAGAAGATGTTCCTCTGAGATGTGCATCGCGCAAAAGGCATCCCAGAATATAATATCAGCTGAACTACCATTGTCAATCATAATACGTTTTACCTGGAGGTTAGCCATGCACGCTGAGATCACTAGTGGGTCATCATAGTCTGGTATGATGTCGCCATAGTCATCATCGTCAAAACTTATGGCCTGTCTTTGATCGCGAGAGGTGGATGGGTGATGGCGACACGACAAGTGCACCGATCGTGAAAGTAATAAAGTGTACCGGAGTACGAGATCGTTCCCACGAGGATCAGAATTTTCAAGCACTAATTCGCTAATTGCGTTTTAGTTGGACAATCAAAGGTTTGGTTTGAGAGAATGGTGAATTTAGATGAAGAGAATTGTTGTTCAAAGAACTTAAAATTAAAAACAATTAAGAACATGCAATTATGAAATTTCAGAATTAAAAAAATGAATGAGACTCATATAATATAATCTAATCACTTTTAGGAGAATATCTTCACTGTTATGAAAGTATATACTGTTAAGAAAAATGAGACTCATATAATATTAAATATAAAATGGATAAAATAAACATAATTAACTGAGTTACTTTAAATGATGTATTGAGTTTTCACTTTCAGTATTAGCTAGTACTAAAATCTTTTTCACTTTTAGATATTTTTGTCATGGTCAAATTCTTTTAATAATTTGAAGATAAATAATTGATAGTATAAAATTTTTTACACTATGAGAATAAGAAAATAAATCTTTTTCAATAAATCAAGTTCGTTTTGTACAAAACTGTTGACGTGAGTAGCAGTGGTTTTCGAATGCATATTTGGAAATGTATATAAAGTGTGCTGTGTTCAGCCTTTTGCCAAAAAGATTAATGTCCGTAGGATTGGATTTTCTGACAAAATATTTTAAAGATTTGTCGAGGAGTACTTTAGACTTTAGAGGGGAAATGGATCCTTAATGTGCCAAAAAAACATGATATCGTTATGTGGGAAGATCACAATCATACAAAGGTAAATCAACGGTTATGATTTCGTAACTATTTATTTTATCATTTTTTTTTCTCTCCTCCTTTTTTACTATTGATCCACCTTTGTATGGTTATGATTTCTCACATTACATGATCATGTGAATTTTCACATTAGAGGATCCAGATCCCTTTAGAGCACGGTTAAATAAATAAAAAATAGAAAGTATTAAATAAAAAGTAAAATACTAACTATATTGAGATTTTTAAAATATTTTATAGAGGGTATTAAATGCTTTTTGGGTAATAACCTTAATTAAAACACTTGTTAGGGAAATTCAATATTATAAATTCACATTTATTACATTTAAAATGATCAGCAAGATTGGGCTCTTTTGGAAAGTAATTAAAGAGGTGGGTCATTTTTTTTGTTCAACTCTGAAATTTCTATAGTAGTAGCACAACATATTGTTAGTATATGGATGTTCTAGAGACAATCTTTTGATTATATTAGGACATATGTGGACCTTTTATATTGTCACAAATAAATAAAAGCACTCTTTATCCTCTTTCATATTTTGTCTCAATATTATTGTTAATATTTTATATGAGTAACTGGATAAACCCCTTGGAATAAAAATAGGTATCTCTTGAGTATCAGTGATGAGATCAAGATCACGAGGATTCAAGGATACTGAACGTTTATTCCTAATTTTATGTTCCTAGTCTAGAGACACTGAGAATGGTGATCAGTGATCTCGGGTAAGACTAGCACGACTTATTTACTTGTATACGGATACAAGGTAAAGACCTCATGTGCTACAGATATATGTCTTAGCTAAAGTCGTGGGGTGGACCTATAAGGGTATAGCTCGCACTGAACAGACCCACAAAGAGACTCTATGAGGAAAACTCACAGAGAGTATCATTAGAGTAGTCTCTTTATATTTGGGTATGTCTTTCCTTAGACCAGAAGTTATTACCTAGATTGTGCTCTAGAAGGCACGCTTTGACTGTATACCTCGTCTGCCTGAAACATGGAGACTCATAGGTACACTGTTGGGCTTGTCCTGAAAGAGCACAGGGCTAGGGTGATAAGCTGAAGGAATTCGTCAAATCTCTGTGAGAGATTAGGTTATCTGTAAACCGGAGAAATCGGGATGACATTTACAGGGACTCGGGATTCTATGCATAGTAAAAGAGATCATGAGATGATCTGCCTTTAGAGTCAGTAAATTGAAGATTCCCTATTTCGAATAAAGCTTATCCTAAACCGCAAGGGTTGATACGTTTCCTTCCCCTAGGTTTAATGGGAAGGTAACCAAGACGAAAGGAAATATATACGGTAACCAAATATGTTTAATAGGATGATCAAATCATTAATCTAACTAGCTCTGGGGCAACAAAGCATTGCTAGTGCTCTGTGTTGTTATTAGATGGGTTGTGGGCTTGTTGGGCCCAAGCCCATTTATGTCAGTGGCTATGTTGGGCCTAATGGGTCACACACTAACACCTTATTGTCAAGATGATATAGCATTAAAAGTATTGGGCCTAATAATGGTTGTTAGCCCAAGAAGAAGTTTGGAAGCCCTCCTAAGAAGGAGAGGGCGCATGGTATGGTTAATGGACTTGGATGGTCCAAGACATTATTAATTAATTTAATTAGTTAAATTAATTATCAAATATTTAAATTTTGAATTTTGAATTTAAATTTGAATTTTTAAATTCGAATTTTGAATTTGAAATTTGAAATTTGAAATTTGAATTTGAATTTTGAATTTAGAGTTTAAATTTAGAATTTGAATTTTGAATTTAAATGTTTGAGCGTTTGAATTTAAATGCTTAAATTCGAATTTAAATTGGCTATGAAAAATTGTTTCATAACAAAAGGTAAGATAAGATCTTGATTGAAACAAATCCCTAGTATCAAGAGGAGATCTTTGATCTCATTCAAGGCTGATTTGGGGCGCCATTATGGGTTGTGATGAGTGTCATCTTGTCAACCAGATAAGCTCAAATCTGATTTGATGTGATGAAAGAATAAGTGAGTGAGTTGATTCAAATATGAATGCAACTACTCAACGTATCTGAACAGTTTCTAGGGCTGAATGGGGTGCACAAATGGCTGGCTATATGATGACCATTAAGTTAGAATATTTGATTAGGTTAAGACCTAATCTCATGAGGATGAAAAAGGAAGGTTGTTTAGAATTTTGAATTAAAACAACTCCACATTTTTCTCCCTTGATTGTGCGCCACTTTAAGGCAGATTTTTGGAGAGAAAAAATCTGAATTTATCTCCCTTGATTGTGCACCACTTTAAGTCAGATTTTTGGAGAAAAATCTGGATTTATAAAAGCTCTTTCTCTCATCCTCTTGAGCGCTAACTTTGGTGGAGTTCTTCCTTAGGTTTTTCAGAAAAATACCTAGCCAATTCTCCTTTATTCCATGCGCCACTTTTGTGATATTTTACGCTGAAAATATCACTCTTCTAAATACATTCACCTAGCCTCCTTCTTCACCTATTGAGCGAATAGCAAGCCTCTTCGTGGTGGTCAATTGGTGGCTTTCAAGAAAGTGTTCTTGCATCTTGACGTGGGTGGTGTGGATCAACGTTAGAGGGTTTGAACCCTTCAAACCTGACACTGACCTCCTTTGTGGTTTAGAATCACAAACAAAGGTAACATCATGTTGTCTTAAAGCAAGATTTTTTCCATTAATTGGTTGGAATTGAATATCTTACATATTGTATACTATTCCAAAAGAGAACTTGAATAAAATTTAAAATTTCATGATAAATGCGAATCAGACAAAATAAGGGATAAATTCTATCAAAAAGAAACCTGAATCCCTCTACTTTTCTTGTCTCCTTACTTGAAAAATTGGAGTAACATATATATAAGAAGTTTGTTCTCACCGTTTGATAGAGGAAAGAACCCTTCATACAAGTGCTCACCTGAGTCTACTTAGTCAAAAACAAAACAAAATAGGATAAAAAAACACACACACTCACACACTGAAAATGGCTTGTAAGAGAGTTGATATCTCTATTTTGGTTGTGGATGATGATGAAACTTCTTGGCCATCGTTGCTAATGTACTCATCTCATGGGAGTATAAAGGTACGTGTGTGTGTGTGTTTATTAATTCAACAATTGTATAGCCGCAGTTTTTTTTCACTTGTTACTTGAATCCCATGTGACATTGTAGAACCACAATATATACGGTCTTTGGGATACTATCTAATCGTTTTAATCCCAATTAATATCAATCACGATTAATTGATATCTCGTACACCTGTCTTGTGGTTATTACATTTTTTTTTTTGAAACTATGGTTATTAGTTTATTACATTATCGATATCCTGTAGACTATGTAGCACGGGACACGGGACACGACACAATACGATACTCCGGCACGTTAATTCTAAAAAATATTAGATTTCGACTCGTTAGGACACGTCTTGATATTAAATAATAATTTTAATTTATGTAGTGTATATTATATCTAATATTCAATAATTTAGCAAAAAAATGAATCTAAACTTATAATATTCATAAATTTTGCAAAGAAACATAAGATATCTCAAATATTTATATTAAATTCAATAAGATAGTAATCGTAATCCAACGAATCTAATAGTTGGAACTAAAAACTCAACGCAACGCAACCTCTAAACCTTTTCTGAATTTCTATAATGCATGTTGGAGTGTCGGGGAGTGTCGGAGTGTCCGAGAGTGTCGGGAAGTGTCGGACACGACACGTTAAGGTCTTTGAAGTGTCAGTGCTTCATAGTTGTAGACCGTCTTGTGGTTGCTAGTGACACCGAAACAATATGATTGTAGGCAAGTTTTGAATGTCATTGATTTTATATGACTCGACGTACAGACTTGCAAATTTGCTTCCGCATTGATTTGAGGGACCGATGTCCCAACACTCACTATATTAATTATAGTTTGGTACAAGTTGTGAAGTGCTTGTGGTTAATTTTCTGTGATTTAAGTGTATTGGAAATGTGATAGAAATATATTTGTGCAAAATCTTGTGATGTAGTATTTGACCTTTGTCTGTTTTGTTTGATGCAGTGATGTCTGCAGACAGGAGAAAGAGTGTAATGTCCAAGAGTTTAGAAAATGATGCAGCACTTTATATTTTGAAACCCATTTGTGCAAATGATTTCAAAGACAGTTGGAAGTATGCCATTGCAGCAAGGAAAGAGAAAATATTCATTGAAAATGAATTGAGAAGAAGAGAAAGAGAGTCACCATGTGAAAATATTATCTCTCAGGATGTTGCAATATCATCATTGACTGAGCCTAAGAGAAAAAGAAAGTATAGTAAGAGAAAGAGAACTCAAACGAACAAGGAAGAGAGCTCCTTTCCTATTCCAAAGAAACCAAAGATTGTTTGGACAACATACCTTCACAATCTGTTTCTGCTTGCCATAAAACAAATTGGATTTGAAAGTAAGTCATCTGCTGCAAATTTTGGGTTTTCAGATTTTATAGATTTGTGTTTGTTTTTTGTATATTTAGATTTTTAATTCATGTGATTGCCTTTTGACTCATAGGGGCCGTGCCAAAGAAAATTCTCGAAATCATGAATGTGCCAAACTTGACAAGAGAAAATATTGCCAGTCACTTGCAGGTTTGCTTCTTAATTAACTTAATATATCTATATAATATGATGGAATCTCCCTAATTCTCTATTTCTTTGTTCCCTTAGTTTATAATTACATTAAAATAATTGAAAGACAATTAAATATGCTAAGTTCTTACGTTTAAGTGTGCATATAACACTTGCAGAACTATCGCATTTTCCTGAGAAAAGTTGCAGAAAGAGGAATAATTGAGGGCTTATCTGAGAGGACTCTAAGGTCAAGGTTTGGTTCTGGGCTTTCAGCTTTAATGATCAAAGAAATCCAAACAAGAACAGAGAAACTATGTGTTCCTGGGCAACAATATTTGAAAAGATTAGCACATCAAAAAGGAATCAAAGAGATTGTCAATGATGTTCATGATAAACAAGTTTCAAGAAGTGCTTATAATATGCCCTCGACAAGTTTCAACATGGGATCTTTGAGCACCTCTAATCTGCCCTCGACTTGTACTTCTTATCTTAGCAGTAACTCCTCTGTAGTTCAACTGAATGGTGGATCAAAAACTGTTGGGACTGGGAACAATGATAGTTTTGGCTTGATTAATGAGACTCAAAATGCAAATATGGATGTAGCAAACTTGGGGAATGTAAATTTTGGTTTGGTACAAAGAGGGCTTGCTTCTACTTCTGGTTCTAATGTTGGGAATGATTTTATAAGTGAGCTTCCAACAACATTGATGACTAATGGAACTCGAGAAGAAAATATTCCAGGGATCCCACAATTACCTCAGCAACTAGATGACAATGTTGTAGAAAATGAGCATAAATATAATGCCACTTCAATATGTGATAATGAGATCATCAGCAGCCAACTGGAAGACGATCTTTCTGAGCTTTTCTTGATGGTAGATGATATGCAACTTCTTAATAATGAGGTATGCATTCAATATATATATATATATATATATATATATATATATATATATATTATCAAATATTATATACATTTGTATGATCCAGTTTTTCAATGTTATATTTCTATTTTAGTCCTGACTTTTTTTGTTGTCTTAAATCAGACAGAAGAGAACCCTGATGCAAGTGAATTTTTAAATTCTGACTTTTCTAGCTCTAGTCAGGTTGTGCAATCATTTGAGCAGGTACATTTGTTACCTATGTCATTTCATGTATTATTTTTTGGGTTAAAGACTTCTCATGTTACATGAGAAGAATATATTCTTCTACACACACAATAAACATGTGGATTCCATTAAAAAGAGGAAAGAGAAAAAAATTTCAGTGGAATCCACATATTTATTATGTGTGTAGGAGAAAAAATTCTTTTCATGTAACATAAGAAGTCTTTAACCCTTATTTTTTACATGGCTTTGCCTGTGTTAATGAATGAATTTAGTGAATTAAGTAAAGTATGAGACATCACACAAGCAATTTTCTGCTGTTTTTTTTTTCAACTGCATTAAGTTATGTTTATGTCTCTCACTGACCATAATTTGACTCAATATCCTCATTGCAATAGTCTAATAGTAGAGCTGGTGATGATGTCATTGTGTTGCCAACTAAAGACACATTAAACTTTCCAAACGAGTCTTCAACAAGCTCTGACAAAAATTCTATTCAGGTAAGTCTAAGTGGTTACCACACTTTTTAGTTTGAGTAAGTGCTTACAATGCTTCCTCTAACAAATAAACAAATTCTTTTATAGTTTTTATCTACATCATTTGTGTGCAGAATAGTTTCTATTGGTGAATATAACATAATACAATATTTCAAAAGGGTTTTAATAACACAATAAAAAAGATTTACGTTTGAATCACCCATATAACCCAATTTCTTGATATCTAGATGCAAGGCAACGAGGAATCTGGGGACTGGGAACACTTTGATAGGTTCTTAGTGGACAATGTTTCTTCAGCAATTAACTCAACTTCTGAGCAGGCAAGTCAATTTACTAAAAAATGTTCATGTTATTGAAATGAATTTGAAATTTTTTTAAATATAAAAATTTTACACTAATTTTAATGCAGGATTGGGATATGGACATCATTGAAGCTTTGTTTGGTACCGATGTAAATTAAAGGGTACGATCGAAGGTTGCTTCAAGGTTCATGAAGTTATAGATTAAGAGGGATAAATACTGGATTTTGCAAAGTCACTAGGACTTTTCTCTATATATAAATACACAGAGAGAGAGAATTGTAGAAATCGTATGAATTGCTTCCTCTTTATATTTACATGTTTGAATGGTTAAGGACCTTTGCCATAGAACATGTATATTATATATCTATGAAATATATTAGGGTTGTCAAAATTTTATTTTGCCAATGTGGCTGCCGGATTCTGCCAGAGTGTGGTGGCGTGTCTGGTAGCCTTCGACCATTTTCAACCCATCAAAAGACTCATCTCTTAGAGCTTTACGTTGTGGTATATTTACTTTTAAAAAATAATGAATATCAACTTATAGAAATAAAAAAAAATTTGTCTCTAGTTTAGTTTTGGGAAAAAAATTTCAGAATCAGCCAAATTCCAAAGGCATGAGGAGGATGCCTCCCGCAGTTTTAGGGGGTGAATGGTGAACAACCAACCAACATCTTCGTCCTATCAAGGGATACGACGTGATATCTTTATTTTCTAAAAATGGTGAAGTAAATTTTTTCGATATAATGAAAAATATTTATCTCTATTTTAAAAATATGAAATTTGAGGGAAAATTCATGCATTTTTAATAACAAATATTTACATCTTTATGATTGATTCTAGGTAGGGGTGTTCATCAACCGATTCAAATCGCAGTGACCGAACCGAAAAATCGATAACCAAAAAATTGAAAACCGAAAAAAACCCGCAACTTTTAATTGGATTGGATCGGTTTTCGGATTGCTTAATGAAAACAGATCCAATCCAAACCGATCCAATATATTAATCTCCATCTACTTACTTTGGTCTTTCTCCAATCATAATCCAAAAATTTCTAAATCCAAGACCCATTAACCCATTAACTAAACCCAAGAAAAAACCTAGTCACATCTCATCAACAAAATTTCATCTGCGTAGAGCTTCATATCTAATTGCCTAAAAAAAAACTATATTATCGTTTACTGATGCTTTTGTATTTCAATTTTTTTTACAAAGCCAATATATATATATATATAAAAGATGTTATCTGCATGAAACAAATTTTAGGATTTTCAAAAAACCAATCCAATCCAAACCGAAAAAAATTGGATTGGATTGAATCAGATTTGAAAAAAATTCCAAACTGAATGGATGATTACATGGTCAAACCGAAAGGATTGAATCAGATGATTTTTGCTTCCAAAATCGATCAAATCCAGACCACGAATATCCCTAATTCTAGGTATGTATGAAAGGTTATACCAATTGTTAGAGTAATCTTATGATCTAAATCATACAATACATAGAACACCATCATGCAATATAATCTAAGGAAGAAGAGATATGACTTACTAACCTCTGGATCTTGATCTTAGGTAAAAAATAAACTTAAGATGAACACTTTTGAAAGAACTTTTCTACAACTTCTCATCTCTTCTTGGAATGCCTTTCTTTTTGGTAGAAAGGTTAGAGCGAGAACTTAGTTGTAGGGACCTTTCCATAATGTACTTATAATACATTCATAACACCAATCCACTTCCACAATAGCTAGGATGAGACTTATCTCGAGTAAAAAGATCAATCCAGAATAACATGTGTTAAACTGGCCCGTATAATTCAAACCTATTTTAGAAGTGGACCTAATAATTAATTAAGCCCACAATATACTTAGAAAATTATTTAACAAGCTATTTTATGCTCCTTACGAATAAAAAAACAAAATAAGGGAAAGCAAATTTTAGAAGTATTCAGAGTTTATACCACAAGAACTTCCAAACTTAGATTTGAGGATTAAATTAGTTTTTGGCTTTAATGTTTCATGCAGACAAATTATCTATATTCACTCTCAAAACAATGTCATTTGGAGTTGAAAAATTAAATAATTCTAATGATAAAGACTGTTATAATATTGAAATATACTATAATTACAAAAACTCATTGATTTTTGTAACACCCCGTGTATACCCGGAATATTAACATTACATCGTATTAAGCGGTGCTTAATTAAAAATGCGGAATATTCTTTTTCTTTTCAATTATGACGTCATTATCAATTACCAACTTGATTACTTAGTCAATTTTATAAAATATCTCCTGTATGTAAATTGCAATAAGACATCTACTGAAATACCTCAATATATAGATAAAGTGTGTATCTAAATCACGGCATTACATCAAGTAATCCGGACAATATCCTGATACATTATTACAACTCCAAAAGACTCAAGACATAACAATACTATGTGTCATGGACAATCCTCATGCTCACCAAATAAACATAGTAAACAACAAGTCTCAACATAAAACTCCATAACATAAACTGAAGCTATAAGCATAAGCAGCATGCAAATCCAGCATCCAACATGGCAGCATAATATAACAGCAATCTAACTCAGCTCCGGCCTCCAGCCGCCTGAGGTCTCAACATTACCTGACCCTGAAATAAGCATTCCCCAAACGTGGGGTGAGATCTCTAAACTAGAAATCTCAGTAAGACAAGGGGTCCTCAAGGATCTTCCACCCCAAGCTCACTTACATTTGCAATATAAGTTCAAAAAGCATTTATATCATTATCAGTTCCAAAACTATGTAGTGCAGCAGATATCTATGGCATGTGTGTATATCACTATCTACTGGCCAGAGAAATGTAGGAATACGTCTATTCCCTACATGTAGTACAAGGAACACCGCTTGCACCTCACCCACAGCCTCACCCTCTTGTATGTTCTACATACTCAGGCTTACCGTATAGGTGGAACACCTCCATGCATATCAACAAGGCACTAACATACAATAGCTCAACAGCATTTCCAAAACATCAAAAGCATGTAACACAGTATGCATATACCATATCCCCAAGGGACATGGTGGAACCACAACATGGCTAAACCGAGGACACAAAAGCTTACCTCTAAGCTAGCTATCCAATACCACAAGCTCAAAGTCCAATCACAGCAGATCACAATCTGATATGGACCAAACATAAATCAATAAACATGTACCACACGCATACAAATTAAAGACAACGTCTTCCCATTACGTTTTCAAGTCTTAAAGCTTCTAACAAAGCCACAAGCCCTTAATCTCATGATTCTGGCTTAATCCATTAAATACAGAAGTTCAACTTCATCAATCTAGGGTCTACAACCCCCCAATAGCCTACTGTACGCACAACACAGCTACTGTTCTGCGAAATTCCAGAATATCCGGATATTCCTCGGGACCATATCCGGATATGCAATATCCGGATATCTCACTGTCCATATCCGGATATCCAATATCCGGATATACAGATTCACATATCCGGATATCCAATATCCAGATATCCCAAAACCCCATATTCAGATATCACATATCCGGATATCATATCCGGATATCCAATATCCGGATATTCCACGGGCAGATATCTGGATATTTCACGACAGAATGCAGTTTCTGCATTTTCGTGAAGATATCCTTTAAAGGTTCCCTTTTTACCGATTTTATACACCTAATCATGCATTTCTAGGTGTGTTAAGCCTTACCCAACAACAAGTTATCATCTTTTAACCTTACATGCATCAAGCTTCCATTTCTAAGCCTTAAAACTCAAGTTAAAGGTTGGTACACATACCCCCAGCTCAAAACAGAAGGAAAGGTTGCCCTTTGGAGCTCACAATCAGTCTCAAGCTACTGTCACAAGAGGATGCACGAAAATGGTAAGAAAGGTTGACCCTTTAGCACAAAAGATCAATACTTGGACCACCAAAAACTAAGACAAGGCTTCTCTCAACCCAACCACCAAGGTCAGCCCCCAAACAAAACAAGAACAGTGGCTGATCACTCAGAAAATGGTGTCTTCCAACCTCCCAAGGCTCACTCAAGCAAGAACAAGTGTTTAGGAAGAAGGTTTTAAGAAGAAACAAGCATAAAATGATCACAAAGTCTCAAAATGGAGAATATGGCAATGGAATAGTATAGGAGGTCAGCCACCAAGGAGAACTCACGCTGGTTTTCTGGTATCTAGGGCAATGTGCCCTTAGTAAGTGTATTTATAGCCAAAACTCACTTAAGCACACATTATTAACTTTAATTGCTACGCTTAGTATTTTAATCCCAAACTTTGGATTCTGAAACTACATAATTTTCTAAGATTTATCATATTTTTCTTATAATTTTCTGAGCACCTTTCCGGTATGCGCTTTTCAAAACCAATACCGGTTTCTAGCACCAGTTCTCAATAATTGGACTTGAAACTCGTTTTACAAATCCTACATATTATTCTAGTAATTATCATGCACTTACTTTAATTTTCCGGCATACTTTTTCGGTACGCATTTATACCGACTAGCAGAACCGGTATCTGCACTTTTCTTCCGAAAAGCGACTTTCAGCATTCTTAATCACTTATTATGATTATTAAGCCTCATAAATAATTATTATGGTCAATTATGGAATCATTTCCTATTTTCACATAATTAATTAATTAAATACCTTAATTAACAGTGCGGGTTCTTACAATTTTCTTCCCAAAATGACATCATTTTGGACTCAATGCAGATAACTTATCTACATTTATTGCAGAAAAAATAAATCCTTAGTTTTTATACTTTTTCTTTACAATTAATTTTGTTCTATGACTAGTCACTTTAAAATCTACTCTAAATCAAACCAAATAATCATTAAACAAACTTAATATCAAATGAAATAGAATTGATATTAAATTAAATTAAATGACACTAACTTGAAAGTAACAACAAAAGATTAAAAGTGCAGGTCGTTATTGTCAAATTTGTTACCGGTGAGTGATGACCCGAATATAAAAGGAAGAATGAAAAAATGTTGATTAACTATAAACAAATTAGCCTTGATTTAGAAAACACAATCTTTTGAAGTTAGTTTGTTTTTAAATTAAGTAATCAACATATATTCATCTTCAAACTTTAATAAATTAAAATCATAATGCACTCCAAATTAAATAAAAAATATCTTTTACTATTCAGTTTAAAATAATATTACTACTTTATTTCATTGTATATAAATTCCTTACTACAAAAGAGTCTTTTCTCAATTAAATCAGTTCATCATATATGGTTCACCGAATTATATATAGCCCAATTTAAAATTGATTTCAAGGAACGACCAATTTTGTCTTCTCCTGATGTAAAAATTCCTTGGTGAAGTCATATTTCTCCATACTGGTGGTACATGGTAAATAGACACTGCTTTGGAGACAACCTTTTCACGAACGAAGTGAAGATCGAGCTCAAAGTGCTTCGTCCGAGAATGAAAAATGGGATTTGGAGTGAGGAGGACAGCTGAGAGATTGTCACAATAGAGAGTTGGAGGACGAGGAAGTTGAATGCAGAGTTCCGAAAGAAGATACTGGATCCAGGTAAGTTCTGCAACAGTAGCAGCAAGACAACGGTACTCTACTTCAGTGCTTGAGCGACTGACAACATGTTGCTTCTTGGAAGACCAGGTAACTAAATTAGATCCAAAGAAGATGCAGTAGCCACTTGTTGAACAACGTTCATCAAGATCTGAGCCCCAATCTGAGTCACAGTACGCAGTGAGATGAAAATTCTTCGAAGGAGTGATAGTTAAACCATGAGAGACAATACCACTCAGGTAATGAAGGATCCTTTTAACAGCTTTCCAATGAGTGTCTAAAGGATTATACATGAACTGACAAACCTTATTTACACAGAAGGCAATATCTGGTCTGGTAATAGTGGCATATTGAAGAGCTCCAATAATGGATCTATATTGAGCTGGATCTGGATGCGGGGAACCATCCCGAGAAGAAAGTTTGGTACTTGATACCATAGGTGAGGGCATGGACTTACAATCCACCATATTTGCTTTCTTTAGGAGATCCAAAATATATTTGGACTGATTTAGATGATAACCCCCAGAGGCTAATTTTTGAGCTTCAATGCCTAAGAAATAGTGTAGTTGCCCAAGATCTTTAAGGGAAAATGCTTGATTGAGAGACTGAATTAACAACATAATGGCTGAGGAGGAGGATCCTGTTATGAGGATGTCATCAACGTATACAAGCACAAAAATAGTAGTTGTCTGAGTCATAGAAATTAATAAGGAGGAATCACATTTGGCAGTTCTGAATCCAAGTTGATGTAGAGTGTTACTAAGCTTCTCAAACCATGCACGTGGAGCTTGTTTGAGTCCATAGAGTGCTTTGGTGAGGCGACATACAAGAGTCTTATTTTAATGCACAAAGCCTGGTGGTTGTTGCATAAAAACCTCTTCTTGAAGATCACCATTTAGGAAAGCATTATTGACATCAAGTTGGTGAATAGGCCAGCCTCTTGAGAGTGCTATAGTTAGGACAATATGGATGGTGACTGTAAGAACCCGCACCGTTAATTAAGGAATTTAATTAATAAATTATGAGAAAATAGGAAATGATTCCATAATTGACCCTAATAATTATTCTGAGGCTTTAATAATTATGGTAAGTGAGTAATAATGTTGATAATCGCTTTTCGGAAGAAAAGTGCAGATACCGGTTCTGCTAGTCCGTATAAATGCGTACCGAAAAAGTATCCCGAAAAATTAATGTAAGTGCATGATAATTACTAGAATGATATGTAGGACTTGTAAAATGAGTTTCAAGTCCAGATAATGAGAACTGGTGCTAGAAACCGGTACTGGCTTGGAAAAGCGCGTACCGAAAAAGTGCTCAGAAAATTATAAGAAAAATATGATAAATCTTAGAAAATTATGTAGTTTCATAATCCAAAGTTTGGAATTAAAATGCTAAGCGTAGCAATTAAAGTTAATACTGTGTGTTTAATTGTTAAACCACTATATAAGCCTTAGTGGGCACTAAACCCTAGGCCATATTACATTCTCTACGTGAGTAAGTGAGGGTGGCTGATCAGCTTGGTTGCTCCTTGGGGTTTCATCTCCATTTTGGATCCAAGACACTTCCTTTCTTGATTTTCTTCACACTTTCACTTGGGAAACACTTGGGAAACATCTTGAGAGGGTGTGAGGGTGCTGTGCTTGAGGTTTGGCCACTGTTTGTGGGCTGTTGGTGTTCTGAGTTGGGGTTTGGGTGGAGTGCTTCCTTGCTCATTGGGTTTTGAGGCTTAAAGGAGCTTTCTTGTTGAGTAAGAGGACCACCTTGGTATACCATTTTCGTGTGCAGAGAGAGACAGAACCTTGGAGTGACCTTTTGAGCTCCAAGAGCACCTCTTGTTGGCTGATTGAGTTTTGGTAAGCCTTGTCACCTTTGGTCTTGAGTCTTTGAACTTAAAAATGAAAGCTTGATGCATGTTAAGGCTTAAAGATGATAACTTGTTGTTGGGTAATGTTGAACACACCTAGAAATGCATGTTTAGGTGCTTTAAATCGTTAAAAACCCAACCTTGGAAGGATATCTTCACGAAATGCATTTTCTGCATTCTGTCGTGAAATATCTGGATAAGTGCCCGATGAATATCCGGATATGTGATATCCGGATATGGGTTTTGAGTATCCGGATAATAGATATCCGGATATGGGATTCTGGATATCCGGATATTGCATATCCGGATATGTCCAGTGAGATATCTGGATATTGCATATCCGGTTATGGTCCCGAGGAATATCCAGATATTCTGGGATTTCGTAGAACAGTAGTTGTGCTGTGTGTACAGTAGGCTATTGGGGGTTTGTGGACCCTAGATTGCTGAAGTGGAACTTCTGTAATTAATGAACTAAGTCAGAATCAAGTGATTAAGGGCTTATGGCTTGGTGAGAAGCCTAAAGACATAAAGCGTAATGAAAAGGCGTTGTCTTAATATTGTATGCTTGTGGTGCATGTTGTTGATGTATTGTTGGTCCATAACAGATTGTGAATCTGCTGTGTTTGGACTTTGAGCTGTGGACTCTTGGCTTTTGGAGTTAGCTTGCAAGGTAAGCTTTCGTGTCCTCGGTTTAGCTATGTTGTGGTTCCACCATGTCCCATGGGGGTATGGTTTATGCATGTTGTGTACATGCTTTTGAATATTCGATATGTTGATTGAACTTTACATGTAATGGCTTTTAATATGCGTGTGTTGTTTCATCTTGACGGGAAGCCTGAGTATGTAGCGCCATACAAGACGGTGTACCAGGGTGAATGCAAGTGGTACTTGCACGGTGTGTAGGTGATAGACGTATACCTGTACTGTCTCTGGCCAGTAGATTACTATTGACACACATGGCATGATTATCTGCTGCATTGCATTGTTTTAGAAATGATAAATGATAAATTGCTTTTGAACTTATATTGCACATGTAAGTGAGCTTGGGGTGGAAGATCCTTGAGGACTCACTGACTTACTGAGATTTCTGGATTAGAGATCTTACACCACGTTTGGGGAATGCTTATTTCAGGATCAGGTAGTATGGGTACTGATGCCTCAGGCGGCAGGAGGCCGGAGCTTAGCTGATTATGTTTTACTACTTTATGTTAGCATGACTGGATTTGGGATGCTGTTTATGTTTTCCGCTATTTATGAGATGTTGTTGTTGAAACTGATGTTGGGCATGTTGCCTTATTTGAGTGAGCATGAGGATTGTCCATGACACTTTCGGTTAGTACTTTTAGATTGGAGTTGTATAAACTGTTAGATGGTCCGGTCTGCATTGTTGTAGTTCCGTGACTAGAGCCACACTTATATTATCTATGTTATGAGGTATTTCAGTTAGCTGTTTTTATTGCAATTACATACAGGCGATGTTTTATTAATTGATTATTAAGAAAGTTGGTAATGTTAATGGCATCATATTTGAAAAGAAAAAATAATTCCGCATTTTAATTAAGCGCAGCTTATACGATATTATGATAATATTACCGGATATATACAGGGTGTTACATTTATGGTATCAGAGCAATGGTTCGAGGGAAAAGCCTGTATGTATTGCAATAGCTAGGATGTGTTGTTGTGTCTGTCTTGTGTGTTTACTCCGTCGAATTTTATTATGATAATGCATATGTAATCACACTGCGTGGGCCTGATCAACTCATAATTTGTGTAACTTGTGCAGAGTCATGGTAAGGTCCGGGAGAACACAGGAGACTTCGGAGGATTAATCTGATCATATCCTGACTGCATTGGCTGAGATGCAGGCGGCTAGGTTAGCCGATCAGGAGGCCACTACATTGGCCAACGCGGCAATGATGGAAGCTGTTCGCGAGGCGAACCGGATAGCCGCAGCTGAGGTTCGTGAAGCGAACCGGAGGACCACTGAGGAAGTCCTTGAGGCGAACAGGATGGCGAACATGACGATGATAAGAGTCATGTTGGAGGAGATGAGAGCTGGTCCTGCTATTGGCCAGGCTCCACCACCACCGCCACCACCGCCACCGCCTCCACCTAGTGTTCAGGAGGAGAGCCATAGTCACATCGGCAGTGCTACTCATGCCGCTGAGACGGGGGAGCCCCTTGTGGGGATTGCTGAGGATCGTGATGTGATCGATCGCCGGCTGAATGCTTTCAGGAAGCATAAGCCACCTGCGTTTGAGGGGTCTTTGGATCCTATTGCTGCTGCGAGGTGGCTAGAGTCGCTGGACAAGATCTTTCGGGTTATGCAGTGTACAGACCCACAGAAGCTGATGTTCTCGACCTACATGCTGGAGGGCGATGCCCATGAGTGGTGGACGCACACCTCTCGTGCTTTTGAGAGGCAGGGCCGTGTCATGACGTGGCCATTCTTTGAGGAGTGCTTTCTGGGCCGATATTTTCCCTATGATGCGCAGGAGAGAAAGCAGGGAGAGTTTGGTCGTTTGGTACAGGGCTCGATGTTTGTTGATGAGTACCTGGCTAAGTTTAATGAGCTAGTGAAGTTTGCACACTTTCGGATGGTTCCTCCTACTCTGTTGTTTCTGGCAGCTAAGTTCCGCAGGGGACTTAGTGAGGTGATTGCTGAGCATCTTGCTGGTGCTGCTTCAAGGGACTTTGGTACACTGGTACAGCAGTGTAAGGACATCGAGGATGTTTGCGTGGCAAGAAAGGCCAAGAGGGCTAAGGTTGAGGAGAGCAAGGGAGCAGGTGGTTCCACTCCTGCTCCTACTTCTTGGAAGGACAGGAGGTTTGCTGATAAGAGCAAGGGAAAGCAGTTAGCGACTAGGCAGGCGCCTGGTCAGTTCAAGAGAGCTGTTTCACACCAGGGGAGTTCTGCTAGGCCTCCTACCACTCCGAGATGTTCGGGATGTGGGAAGGAGCATGTGGGACGCTGTGCTACGGGGCAGTTGTTGTGCTTCAAGTGTGGCAAGGAGGGCCACTTCTCTAGAGATTGTCCATCGTCGACGGCGAGAGCTGCAGCTGTTCAGGCAATTCCTTTGCAGATGGTTCCGATGGCATCTTCTTCGGCACCTACAGTGCCACCTTCTGTTGGGAGAGAGTATACACTGGATAGGCAGCAGTCGGACCGCGCTCCGAACTTTGTCAGAGGTACTGTGTCTATTGGTGATTCTTTTATGGATGCTATCTTTGATTCCGGGACTACTCATTCGTTTGTTGCTACCCCGATTGCTTTGGGGCTTGAGTTGCCCAGTGCTGTGCTTTCTCCACCGTTGCGGGTGACTACCGCCACCGGAGAGATTTGTGATTCTACCACTGTACATCGCGATGTAGCGTTTCAGTGGGATGGCCGTGAGTTCTCGGTAGATCTGATAGGGTTGCCGATGGCCAACCTTGAGATTATTCTGGGCATGGATTGGTTGTCTAGAAACTGTGCATTGATTGATTGTTGTGCAAAGCGAGTGGTGATGTCTCCGTGTGATTCCACAGCTAGTTCCTCGCCATACACTTCACTGCTGCAGGCCAGGAGAGCGTTGCGAGCAGGGGCATTGGGTTATGTCATGTTGGGTGGTTTGGTGAGTGGGACACAGGAGGATATCACTGGCATTCGTGTGATTTGTTTGATTTTTTTGAATTTACTAGTTAGTGAAATTATGTAAAATAGAAAAAATATTCAAAATAAATACTTAAAAATTCAGCACAAGCAAGGAAAACACTGAAAACAGAAAATATTTTTTTTTATTCTTCACGTCCAGGATTACGTCCTGGGTCGTTAGATAGGAATCCGAAGAT